CAGCATGATAATCATGAGAAGCGTCTCATGTTACAACATGACTACATTCATACTCAAGCGGCAATACGTTTCGACGTGACGTGGTGCGCGTGCTCGCCGGCGTTCATTTCGTCGCGTCATGCCGGCGTTGCCACGCCAGGCAACGTTCCTGCGATATACTCGCTGGCGCGCGCCGCGCTGCGTTGCTTTGACGCATGCGTGTTTCAGCGCATCCGGCGTCCCTCCGTCACAAAAGGAGGGAGACGCAGTGTTGCCTGGGTAACGTATCGGCGCGAAATGCAGCTCGGATTTCGCGCCGGTTGCCGTCGGATCGCGCCGACGAACGCTGGTCGCGCCTTCCGTCAGACTATAACCTGCTCGATTCCTAGGCAGAGAACCCAATATAGCTTGAAATCTGTTTTAGCTTTCTTAAGCGATGTTCGCATGCTGAATATTATCTGCCCTGGTAATCGCAACACGGCCTCCTCCGAGATGTTACTGTTGCGATGTTATCATTCGTTACGGCACATGTCTCCTGGACCTTGTACTCAAGGTCTTTGTGAGGCTCATGTGTTTCTTCGTAATTCATCTATTAAGACATATTCTCTAGAATTCGACATCCGCTGCTGATAGAATTCGCCCACGTGCATTCACCCCACTACAGCAGCCGCCATAATTTATAGGTCTACATATGTTACGGCACTTACAGCCTTGGTTTTATGGCTTCTATACAGCCACTGCATAAACTAAAATGTCATGCAGTAATATCACAATTTTGGGGCTCCTTGCCCAAACGATGGCCGTTGCGCTTATAAAAGCAATACATCATCACAAACTTGTTTTCACCCCAAAAAATCGGAAAGAGTGATACCTTTAGCTACTACAACGACATGTTTCTTTTGAATCGAAGTTTCACATTTATTTAGAGAGCACATTTTTACATTTGTTATGCCCTTTTCCGTACTGAGAGTTATACTTAGGAGCAGTGATGTCCTTGAAGAATATTCGGATATAAGGATGAAAATGTTCGCATAACATTCATTTCGACAGTGTGTGAAATCTGAGGGATGTGTATTGATGAAATAAATTGGCTTCGTTTGATAACCTCCTTCATCATCTCTAGTGAACACTCTTCTGTGAGACGAACTATGACAGAAAAACAATGCGGCATTTTTCGCGTTTCTTCAGCTAGCTGAAAGTCATATGTGTCTTTAGAGCCTCCTTAATGGGCATATTGAAATGCGTTAAGTTTTATTCGTTTATTTATTCATCGCAACACCCGTTGAAAAACATTTTATGACACCTAATAATCACTTTCTCCATCCCAGCAAAGGTCTCTGCTGTGCTGTTGAACCGTCACACCACACGCGTCTTCATAATAGTCGATGCAGCGCTGAGGAACTGAATCCTTCACTTCTCTTCTTGCCCATAGTAGGCACACTAGAAGAAGCAAAACATGCGATCATCAGTCGTCCAAAAATTGTTCTATCATAAACATCATTCATTCAACCTGAAGGTGCTTGATTTACCGTTTAACAGAGCATAATAATCATTTGCGCCATGCGGTACAAGGGCAGTTAGGACTCCATACAGCCGTTATTGTGGCTGCCTTCCTCTGTTTGAGCATTGCGAGGTAATGGGCAAGCACCACTCGCATGCCGAGCGTGAGATAATTGAGGCCTATCACATAAGTTCCATTGACGGTACAGGTGTAAGCTCTTCATCAGTCGCGCTGTTGCAAAAAGACATTTCCTATTTCGATGATTCTTAAGTTGCGTACCCGTTTGCAACTCATCAAATGGTGACAAGAGTTTATAGGACATTGTATCGCAGTGGTTGTTAACTGCTCCCATCTACACAAGCCCACTCGGTTTTTCACCTATATATGTTCACCTCTCCGCTAATAAATATTGGTGTAAAGTCAGCGCTCTTTCTGTCCTTGTTTATTGCTTCCATAGTTACGCTGTAACTAGGTATAGGTTGCTCTGTTCGTATATTCAGCTCTGACACCACCTAGATGCACTTTTTCTTCACTGCATGCGCAATGTACGTCTCACTGTAGTTCGAGTACCGGAGTAACAACTCTCAGTAACAACCCTCGGGTGTAAGCTTGAGTCATTTTACCTAGATTCCTTGTGATACTGGGTGATTTTGCCACGTGTTGCCGACGCCACTCTTTAAAGACGCGAAGCAAGAGCCATAGGTGGTAGTTCCAGCGTGGCTTTGGCTACTTTCTTATGCTAACAATCAGTTGCAGGAGCTTGTTTGGCCAGCTTCTTATGCTCGCACCTTGTCTGGCGGTGGTGATGACGTGTGCGCTCCTTCAGTGATTTCAAAAATGTTCACTAGATGACGCGCCACCACTCAAGGTGACTCCAACAATGCTCACTATGTCGCATGCCGTCGTTGAAGGAGTCGGCTTTCCGGTGATTTGAAGAATGCTCATGAGATGGCACGCCGCCGCTCAAAGCAGCGCACACCACTCTCGGTACGTACTCTAATAAAGTGGTTTCTATTCATTCCTATCTCTTCCCCAGGAGATCACGCAATGAACCCTCTTCGTTACCGCTCGGCAGCATGTACTTCATAGAAGCCAAGGCAGCAGCACAGCGGGCTCTTAACGCCGACGCGGGGTCTCGCCGACAAGACCCCGCGATGATAGGCCGGATATATACAACGTTTCCACGTCCCTATATGATGATATAGATTACGGGGGATTTCTGGTTACCCGATCAACTCCGAGCAAGCTACTCTAACACCATTCAATATATTGAGGCTCACGTGCTTAGAATTAGGCGCACATTAAAGAACCCCAGGTCGAAATCACCGCAGCTCTCCACTACAGCGTCCCTCATAATCATAAGGTGGCTTTGGAACAATGAACCCACACATTTAGTGTTAAAAACATCATTCACTTTTTGAATTTTACCGTAACTGTTTTTTTTTCACTTCCACGGTTTTCTAAGTGAGGTACAACATGACGTGTAAAGTAGGAATGCTTCAAATTTCGGCATTACCGCCAGATTTTCATCTTTCCGGAAATCAGCAGCGATATGTTTTAGAAACCTGGCGTCTTTTACCACAAAGAAATGACACGTATATTGAATATCGGAAAGGTGTTCTTTTCTATAGAAGCGTTATGTGACATGTTGAGTGAGTGAGTGAAACAACTTTATTGATGATCCGGCATAAAGGGGGAAGGGGTAGGGGTATTAAAGCGACACACTAGCGTGCTCGGACGTCCCGGAGCAGCAACCTACTCGCGTCAAACCCGTGGGGGCGCCGCTTTCGGCCGCTGGCGTTCCAGGATGCTAAGCACGTGCGGGATCACGTCTCTTTGGTTGCCTGGCTCTCGGCTGATGATTTTGCTGCTTATGGCAGTTGGCATTACTTCTTGGTTACGCGGCGGTGGCGCACAGTCCCATAGAAAGTGTCTCTGGGTGGATCGCGCCTTCTTGCAGTGTTGGCATACATCAGCGGTGTAAACCTCCGGGCAAACGTGCTTTGCCCAGACGATGGCTCCATATGGCTTGTACTTGCAACTGCCATAGTGTGACTGCTTCTCTGCGTTGTAGGTCTCAGTGAGGCGGTGGGTAGAGGCGTCTGCTTGTTCATGTGACATGTTGAAAATCTCTCTTACCACTTCCTCCCTCCCCAGCTGCCACTAATTCCACTGTGCCGACCTACGTGGCGACAGAACTCCGTCACACCATCCCACTAGCTGAGGTGAGTTTTTTACCCCTGCTCTGCTATGAGTTTTCGACAGGACGATGCGTAGCAGTGCAAACAGCTGCCACATCCAAACCACGATCATTTGTTCAATCGCATTGTGTCAGTGGCGCCCTCAAATTGGTCGGTTTTATTGTTCACAGTGCTTCGTAGGTCCGGAAGCCCACGTTTGCTGTGTACAACGCTTTTGGAAATAAACGCCATAAAATCCGAAATCAAATAATAAATCAAGGCAAAGGAATACGATGGTCCGCCCGCTGTAGGTACGCAGAGAATAGCCTGCTGCATCGAGTGGCCGACGCCATGTTTAGTCTACTCAAGCTTGCCAGCGGCTCATCAAAACACCAACCATACTGCGCCTTTGAGGTTTTGGAACAGCTGCTTCGTAGTTAAGTCACGTAAAATATTTGAACACATTTTTCGCTAATTTGCAACGCATCGTGCTTTTAGGGTGAATTGGGCATGTTGTGCGAGAAAGCACTAGTTAAAAACTACAATCAGGCAATATTTTTCTTACGAAGAGTCGTAGAGAATGTCCTTAGATTCAGTGAAAAGAATTAGAAAGACTACGTGTAGCTTAGGCTACTGGTGCATGGCTGGAAGCAACAACGAAGACGGGGTTAGGCCAAGCTAACTTTGAGCAGTGATGTCAAGTTTTTGCCAGTAGTGCAGTATATGGCCAGACTTGAGTGTTTTTCTCCGGTTGCGATCGGTTTCTTAACTACGCACGAGTGCCGGGTTGTTGGGGAAACATGACTAGTCAATAAGTTCTTTTAAGGGAACATCTCAAGTGCCAAGTTGTATGATGCTACTTGATTTTAGCCACGTGACTTGTTGTTGGACGACGTCACGTTGTTTTAGTGAGGTCACAAAATGTTACGTGATGTGACGTAATTTGACACAACAAAAATGACGGGACGGTCGGATTGAATGCCCGAGTCAAAGCCGATCACTTGTGGCACCCCTCCTCTTGCCAGAGGCTGCCATTTATGGGTATTACCACACGTGGCCAGTGTAAAGAATTTTATGTCGTACGCGACGACACATTGATGTTATTTTTGCCATGAGCTGGGATTCGTGCTTATCATACAGTGAAAACCCTCTTGTGCTATATGCCAAAGAAGTGACTACGAGAGCACCAAGAAATAGGCGCAATCCTTTGATGGGCTAGTTGGCATATTTCTTGACATATACAAAGTATTTTCCGCGCTAACAAACGAGGACCACAGAAGACACAAAAGTCGATTGGCGGGTGATGCAACTCTGTTCATGCACCCAGAAAATATTGGTCTCTGGTGGCTGCGTCGGCTTCATGAGTGACCTATACTTGCCAGTCTGTATTTCTGCTAAGCAGCGTAGTCTCCCTCGAAAAAAGCTTTGTTAATTGTAAGTTGAGAAGACTGTACTATTGGGAAAATGAGGGTCATCTTGTAAAGTGTAATTAACCAATGCTCCTGCTGCCACGCAACCTTCACAGCATGTTCAGAAATAGGTGGTGATCATGCGCAAGACTATCAGGAGTCAGAAGCTATTCCTTCGGAGATATATCAGTGTGAAGTAAAAAGGTGACATAGGGTTCCACGGCAAAATACAGTCGTACTATACTACATAACGCAAAACACACGCATCGAAACCGTATGCACAAGTTCCTGGACGGCGCTACAATATTTTTTGTGTTGGTGGGCGGAAAGGAAGTGCAGCAGTCATTATGAAGATTGTGGTTTCTGCTGATGTCTTTCTTTGAATGCCAAATATTGGGCGGAATATATATTGCCTATCTGCTACCTGAAAAGAAAGTACATCCATTCTTCGTTCCATAGAGTACACATTGAAACACAAAAGAGGAAGTAGAGCAAGTGCTGGTCTAACAGCTAAAACTTTGTTTTTGAAATATTGTATTTTATGTATGTGCAAACTCGCCCACCACTCAATTCTAATAAAGCAGTCCTTTGAAAAAAAGTATCAGCTCAGTTTTTATCACAAAACAGAAGAAGATAAATCTACGAATAACTTCACAATGATCACCGCTTTATTGCCTGATCCCTCATATAATGGGTACGAGCCCAAACATATAAGAACAAGCAAGCAAGCAATGCAAAATTCACGTTTATTTTGGCTGCGGTGAATGAAGTGCGGGTTGTGCTGATTATGTCCGCATCATACATATGAGTGAGCAAAATTTTTTTCATTATTTTAGAACTAATTCTTGTGGTTATGGTGTTTCTAGCGCGCTGTGCCGAATAAAGCGGAGCAATGGTGTGCCGTGTTGAGGCATAATTTAACAGTTCCCTTATTGCATCTAACCGTGAACATCTGTGCAGGATAGCCACACTTACACATTTGCCCGCATGATCCCGCTTTGGTAGGCAGCCCTGCCCAAATCACTAACAACTGGCTTGCAGTTTGGAGGATGGGTTTCCGAATAACTCAATAACGCTAAATACCGGCATGCATTGGAAAGACTTTCCATAATTTTACAAGGCATCCACGCAGGTAATGTAAAAAAAATTGCCAGCTACTCTTGTTGTGGCTGAGGATATTATGAAGCAATTTTAAAAAAAATATGCCACCACAACCCAAATCTTGCACACATCTATGTTGCGAAATCTCGGAGGCAGTGCTTCACATATATATGCATTGGGCAGCACAGCGTAGATGATAGCGTATATGGCGCGTATCGCCAATGAAACGCATACAATGTCACCTAAGACACATACCAATTCCCGTTTATTCCGTCTCTGGATAAGTAATTTCGAAAAGTAATTGTGACCCTACCACGGTGTTTTAGTGGCTCAGGTACTCGGCTGCTGACCCGCAGGTTGCGCGATCAAATTCCGGCTGCAGCGGCTGCATTTTCGATGAAGGCGGAAATGTTGTAGGCCCGTGCGCTCAGATTTGGGTGCAGGTGAAAGAACCCCAGGTGGTAGAAATTTCCGCGGCCCTCCACTACAGCGACTCTCATAATCATATAGGAATATTTGAGCGTTAAACCCCACATATGAATCAATCAAAAGTAATTGTGTATCAGAATTGCTAAGGCCACCACATATTTCAATTCTTGCATGATTCTGCAGAGAGATAAACTTCCTATGAATAATGGAGTCGCTGTTGGTCTCGTGACAAACATCTACGCCCACTATGTAACCTACTTCACGACTGCTTTTAGATGCGAGAAATTTTATGGTCAAGTTCAATTCGGTGTGCGGGGTCGCCACCCTTACGGCGCATGTGAGTCTCCTCCCCTCTTTCTGCTCGCCTCGAAATGCCGATGCAGACAGCATCTGCTGAATAGTTTCTTGATTAAAAAAACTGCTCTCGCTACACAACCGTTCGCAGGCAAGCCTTTATCTATCGGCACTACATCTCGATATCCAAGTTAGTGTTGGTGGGAAATTTCTCCCGTGTGTTGTCGAATAACAAAACTTCGCTGCGCCCTCGTTAAATCAAAGTGGACTTGGGGTCTCTGTGTCAAATTGAGGTCTGCCGTCTCTCTTTGCCCACTATCAGCGATTAGAATGTACCACCAGTTCATTAATGAAATGTAATGAAACACCGGTTCATTACTGCGGGCTTTGAGCCTCCCCAGCCTTTGCTCTTGCGCAATGCCGGGATGAGGGCCTGCGTCAACGCCGCCGCTAGTGTAAAAGTTAGTGCCCACTGCTTCACATAAACGTATGGTTCCTTGTAGCGGGATAATGTGCAATTTTTTCATTAACGCAATAGCGTTAAAGAGCTTGTGTCGCAGAAATCCTGCCGCTGGCGTCGGCCCCGTTGGTTGTGAGCGAAAAATTGTCTGTGCGTCTGTGACTGAAAAATCACCTTACCGATTAGCCGCGGGAGGCCGCTACTTGTCCAGGCGTGCACACGCGATCACACTAAAAAAAACCGCGCATTCGAAAAAAAGTGCTCAAGGTCACGAGGCGCGGTAGTTTCTTGGCCCTGTTACCTCTGCCTGCTCAGCTTCAAGCGCTTTTGTCGGTGCGAGAGAAGAGATAATGCAATTGCAGCATGCGACAAACCTTCGTACCTCCATTCGCACTGGAAGGATTTCTGAAGTTTTTGTGGCATTGCATTCGTAAGGAAATAAGCTTTCTAGTGAATTCACTTCATGGTTACTTGAAACAGTCTTTCAGGGCCCCTTTAGTGAATTTTATTCGACAGGTGTCATGACGAAAACTAGCCCATTCGGCGATAACAGCGCGCGCTGGTCCAATCTACTCTGTGCGTGTTTGTTTGCGAGCGTGTGCATGTAACAAAACATATCAATAATAATGCACTTAGCGGTTGATGGGTGCACTGTGGGCCGGATTTCGCTATCGCGTTCAACTCTTAAAGGCGAAGCTTAGGTGTCCCCCAATTTTCGCTCGAGCGACGGCACCACTGTCTTATAAACATTGAGCGCAATCATGGTAATTACTCTAGCAGTTTCGTGCTCCCAACTGAGTATCTTGCGCCCTCCATAATAATGTTAATTTGCCTGGGCCGAACGTAGGACGGCAAACAATACAGGGTTCACAAAACGCTCTAGTGTTCCTCATGAGTGCTCTTACCATGTCCATCGTACTCTAAATCCGCAATAGCACAGTCCTTGTAGTCCATGTAGTAAAGGATGCCCTCTCTTTGCGTCAAATCTGTGAAATTCCAAATATGCATTTCACACCCAACTCTTCTACAAAATAAGCTGAGTGTCAGTAAATCAAACAGAGTTTTGTGAGGGACCCGCCAAAACAGCGATAACTTGGTTGTGGTTGACTAATTTGGAACAAAGTTAATGCGGTATATAGTCACTTTAAACACATGCTTCTTCACTTGCAGAGGTCATCTTAAGAAAATTAATGTTGCAATACCGATGGAATGTTTTGCCGCAGCAATGCGCAACTAATATTAAGCAGAACAAGACAAAATACGTTTTACCTTCCTAAACAGAAATATAGTTGTGTTTTTCAAGTGCCATATTTTCCAAATTCGCTACTAGTATATCTACTAATAGGCCTATTAAGGCGAATGCCTCAGATGTCTCACGAAATGCAATAAGTGACCATCGGCGCTCACCAGTGAAACCTTAAGTGCAGAAATATTTCGAAAGAGGGCGGGGGAAAATCTATACATTAACCAAGAACAAGGTGGTCATCGCCTTCAAGACCCCTTAGGCGGGGGAATTAGGAACCCTGGGAGGTTTTATAGTGATTAAGGTATCATTGCCATGGCAGCATGAAGAACTTGAATTCTATCTGTCAAAATAAGGTCGTGAAACGGAGCTCCTGGTGAAAAAAAAAACCGGGAAGATTATTGAGCTTCCTTGCCTCGCTGCAGTGGTCTAGTGGATAAGGTACTCGGCTGCTGACCCGCAGGTCGCGCGATCGAATCTCGGTGGTGGCTGCTGCATTTTCGATGGATGCGAAAATGCTGTAAGCCCATGTGCTCACGTTTCGATGCGCGTTAAAGAACCCCAGTTGATCAAAATCTCTGGAGCCCTCCACTACGGCGTCTCTCATAATCATATGGTGGTTTCGGGACGTTAAACCCCACATATCAAGAGATCAATACTTGAGCTTGCTTGAAAGGCAGGAGGCGTGACTTCTCAATGCCCACTTGAACACTGCCGCAATCGAAAAACCAGACCTGTGTTTCTTGCATGGCGAATCCAGGTTTTTAAGGGTCGATAATAATATGGTAAAAGTCATCCCTTCATGATTTTGTTTTTATTTATAGAATGCATGGAAGATTGTCTCTAAGGTACTTTACAAACTTACTTAGTTGAGCCTTGAAGAAGTATGAAAAACGTATAAAGGTGGTACATCACTGAATGGTTCAAATAAAAATATTGTAGGAGGTTATGTCGTTAAAACTATACGGTTAGGATACATCAGCCACCCTCACTTCGTGACAATAATTTGAAATAGGGTACATTCAAGGGCCTCAGTTTTCGTCACTTACAATTACACAAAAAACGTAACAGCTAAACATTTGCATAAAGGTATAAACAAATATTTTTTCGAGTTTAGCAAGTTCGAGAAGTAATCAAAATGATCCATACCTTGATCACTGTTATACATGATAAAAACAGTACTAAAACACTTCCTCTCAAACCCCCCAATTTTCCTTTGTATTACGAAGTCAATAGGTTGTCTTTCCATGTGGTTGCAGGCAAAAATAAATGGGACTCTGTGTGCGACCTATGTTATCAATTTGATGATTTTTTAGCAATCACGTAAAAATCAATAGGCCATTCTTTATGTGAATGCTATCAAAACGGCGTTCGTAAAGCAAATACAGCACATTTCTACTCAATTAAACCCTTCAATATTATAATTGAATGCTGAGTGACGTGTTTTGAAAAAACACTATGTATTAGAACATTCTCGTTAGTATGGACATACGCAGGGTTCATAATTCCGAAAGTGATACAAATAGACGAAGAAATATGGCGAAATACCGTCTTTATGCATTGGTTGGTTTCTTTTGTTTACATCTGCAATTTGATTTTGCGTCGCTTCGTAGACCGACAGTAAAGGAAAACCATATTTTTCTCCCATTAACGAAATCAATTAAAACGATACAAAAAACACCACTCTTGCTACGTGAGGACGAGTGGAAAATACACCGTTAGGTTCCCGTACGAGCTCATTATGATTTCACATACGTAGACAATGCATGCCAGGGCAGACGCATATATTGCTTGGCACAAATCAACTGCACTCTGTTGTGTGAGAAGTGGTGTTTGGCGTGGAAACCGCAGCATAATAAATGGCCCAATGACCAAACTGTGCAAAAATACAAGCAGCGATGTTACAATGACAACGAAGTTATCATATCTCGGCGCGATTATCCTAAATGAAACATTCAGCTTCACTTTCTTCTCTGATAAGGAATATGTGAGATTAAGGCAATAGGACAATGTGATTTACAAGTATTATTTTATCCTTGTTGCTTGTACATTGTTTCACATTATTTTTTATTGAACATGACAGACAGACAAAGAACTTTATTCAGGTCCTGTGGAACTGCATTGTAACGGCCCTGTTTAGGGGGAATCCGTAGCAGTCGCGGGCCGCTCCCACGTAGGGACCGGAAGACCGTGGTTCTCCGCCCTCTCGCAGGCCCTTTCGACAGCCCGAAGTTGAACCAAGAGGTCGCCGCTGTTAAGGGCTTCCTCCCAGTCCTCTTCTTTGTTGAACTCTGCGTCACGTAACGCAGGACATTGCCAGAGCATATGAGGTAATGAGCAATACGCCTCTCCGCAGTCCGGACAATGCGGCTCGATGTTGGGCGAAAAATGACTGAACCTGCCTCGCGAAGGGAAAGACCCCGTTTGGAGCATCCTGTAGGCAGATGATTGCGGTCGCGTAAGTTTAGGATGAGGAAGTGGAAAAGCCCTCCGAGATAGATGATAATGAGTCATGATCTTTTGGAAAGTGAGTAGCGAGTTCCTGCATCTTCCGGCGTCCCCGCCTGCGAATCCGCCGGGACCGCCGCACTGAGCGATACCTCGCGCACGGTCATGGGCAAACTCATTGGCGTTGGGGACATCAGGATGTACGTTGGCCCCCATGTGGGCCGGGAACCATGTTATGGTGTGAAACCCGGCAGCCCCCTCACAGCTGAGGATGGCCGCTGCCTCACGCGAGATCAAGCCCGAGGCGAAAGCCCTAGCTGCGGAACGCGAATCTGTAAAGACATTAGGACGCGATGGGTCCTTCATTGCTATGGTGATGGCGATTCGCTCAGCCACCATTGCCGAAACCTTTCTAACCGAGGCAGAGCACAGGAGTGTGCCACTATGATTGACCGAGACCACTGCGAAGCGATCCGAACAACCGTACTGGGCTGCATCGACAAAGGTCGCGAGATGCGGTCTGTTTGCAACTTATTTTAATAAGGAACGGGCCCGAGCTATGCGGCGCCCTACATTATTGAACATGAGGTAAATATTTCATGACTGTGCACATTGGTTTTTGCACATAAAATTGAAAATCTTACCTTCCCCTACCGTAAACCTCATTGTTCCGGGTTTCTCAGCTGTTTTAACCTTGAACGGGATCTCAAGGCTGTTAGAAAAAAAACGTTAGGCATTGAGCGCGTGTCAATATAGTGAAAACGCGTTACGAATATTGCATAAACATTTAGTCGCAGTATGGTGATGACTGACAGAGCACACATTAGTATGTAGAGCATGGACTTCGAGCATGATAAGCGAGTACATATTAGTATGTGCTCACTTAAGAAGTAAGATCTCTAAGAGCTTTGTAGGATGTGGTTGAGTATCTTTTTATTGCTCTACTTTGTTTCTTTGACAAGCGACAGCATTACCGTCTTTATAAGCGACCAGAAACTGCTAAACAAGTGGAAATGAAGTTATTACATGTAGGTGCACATCCAGCTTTGCAGAATTAAACTTTTTTTGTAGGTACCCTTGTAGCACTCCGTCGTTCTATGCCGTCTAGATCGCAGATCATTGTTCTTACTAATACTATTAGCTAACCTCCCTGTCCTTCCTTTTTCAATCTTCCTTAGCTGTCCGTTTGCCTGGGTCCTAGAGTCATCGTTGGTAAAGCAGCAGGTCCGTGCTTACCGAACACATGTTTATTGCAGGACAGTGATGCCCGAGCTAGGCAGGCCCCTCTACTGAGAGACTCGCATGGGCACAATTGTTCGCAGTTCTTCCGTTACAAACTCACCACTGTCGTGAGGTGTGCCTATATACCTTTTCGTGTCATCTCTCTGCACAGGTTTTATGTCTGGCATGAGTAAAATGGGTAGATGTGTATGAGACTAAAAGTATGGCAAGTGTATTGCCAGTATTTGAGGGCATCACTGCGAAAACTACACCTGCATTACGACAAGTTACGTCCCTAATTCTTAAGATGGAGTTTAAAAAAAAAAATAACAATAAAGACAATACTCGTAACCACCATCAATATCCGCAAGAGTGGAATGGTTCACAAGTGCGGGATTGAGAATCGCAAAAAACTCGGCATAATATTCTCTGCAATGTTACGTTGGGCATGCTTATTTCTCCTGAGTAAACATCTGCTGACAATAATCATTCACGTCCTATCGACCACTCATGCGATATGACAAATATACTTTTTATGAGAAACAGATATTCTTTGCCACCGTCAATGTACCGCCGGGGTTAAAAATATGCCGACGGACACCATCACAATGTGCCCCGATTAAAGTTCTTTACTAGCCTGGAGTGCCTCAGGCTACTTTAGTGAATTTACTGGTATGGGTGGCTTGAATGAATAGCTTTTGAAGCAACGAACCTGGCCGCCATTCACGATGCGAAAGTCGTACTTCACTTTGCAGAGTGTCCTCAATAGGCAGATGTTTACAGTGTATTGATTAAGTACAATTTCTTTTGTTAGCACAGATGCCCGTGCAGAAAAAGAAAACTTAGACCATCGTCTCCTAAAGCGAACCATGTGTAGATACGAAGCAGCGGGCGCTAACACACAATGGCGGCGACGTTGACGCTAGCATTCGTCAAGCGGGGGGCAAGTGAACACGCACTAGACCGAGTTTTGAACGCGCGATTTAGTTCCTACACTTACGGTGTGGCCAGTGAACGGTTGTGCAGCTCGAGCAGTTGGTTTTTTACTTGCAGACGCAGGGTGGAGGGGATGATTCTTTAGGGAACAAAAGGCGGAAAGGTAAGTAAATGGGAGGTGAAGTGCACAATAACTGTCTCTCATGTGAGGATACCTCAAATGATATTGTTACGGAAGGGAGACGCCGTATCGACGAGGCTGTGCATGAAATATATTTCAAACTAGCAGCAGCAGCGGTGTGACCGGTAGACTAGACACCGAGCGGAGATACCCTTCGTCTTCCTCGTCAGGCACACACGCGCGTCACCCCCTAGAATCTCAATTTGCATGCATGCAGCATAATCCCCGGCGGCAGAAGCACCGTATCGGCGCATCCAAATGTCAACGTCACTAGAAGAGTGGTAGGGCTTCAAGCGCGCAACATGTAGAGTATCGGTAGCCTGTTGGGCACGTGAAGGCGATGGAGCGACAGGACCAATTTCATACTCACAGGAGTAACCACACGAAGGACTCTGTATGGACTGTCGACAAAAAGGTGCGGTCACGGTCTGTAAGCAGCTGCCGTGGGCCTCCGACCTGAGTAGCGAGTAAGCAGTTTTTCTGACAAGCAACCTTGACGGGTCGGAGACCAGAGCAGGACCAAAGAACCGGGCGGAAAGTGTACGTCACGGTGTTGTTGGTCATACAGATGCCATTGCTTCTCTCGAGAGGCCAGAAGGCGAGTACGGGTGATTTCGCGTACGTGAGCGGCCCGAGTGATAGCGTCCTTCACATATTCACTGGTCGGTACCGCAAGGGGGCGGTATGATGGTGTCTAGAGGCAATCTGAGTTCTCGGCCAAACAAGAGAAAAAAGGGAGAGTAACCGGCAGTGTCATGGCGCGAAGAATTATAGGCAATTGTGATGTACGGCAACGCAAGATCCCAGTCGGTGTGGTTAGTAGAAACATAATTAGCTAGCATGTCTTTAAGAGTTCGATTTAGACGCTCCGTGAGTCCATTGGTTTGCGGATGGTATGATGTAGTGAACTTGTGTCTAGCTTGACAGGACTGCAAGATGTCGGCTATCACCTTCGACAAAAAGGTGCGGCCACGGTCTGTAAGCAGCTGCCGTGGGCCACCGTGTTGCAAAATCACGTCCTTGAGGAGGAAGTCAGCCACGTCTGTGGCGCAGCTTGTTGGAAGAGTTCGTGTGATGGCATAACGCGTGGCGTAGTCGGTGGCCACAGCTATCCACTTGTTACCCAAGGAAGACAAGGGGAAAGGGCCAAGTAGGTCCAAGCCAACGCGGAAGAACGGTTCCGACGGAATGTCAAGTGATTAAAGGCGTCCGGCGGGAAGTGTCGATGGCGTTTTGCGGCGCTGACATTTCTCACAAGCAGCAACGTAACTTCTGACTGAGCGTGCAAGCTCTGGCCAGAAGAAGCGTCGGCGTATTCAGTCGTAAGTGCGTGAGACACCAAGGTAACCGGCAGTCGGAAGGTCATGAAGTTCATTTAGAACTTACGAGCGAAGGTGTTTCGGAATTACAAGCAGCAGGGCCGGTCCATCCGGCTCGAAATTTTGGCGGTTTAAAACACCATTGTGGAGCACGAATGAGCGATGGGAATGATTAGAAGGTGGTGATTCGATGCGCTCAATGATAACACGCAAGGACGCATCACGGCGCTGCTCATCACCGATGCATGTCATTAGCGAAAGAGAAAAGACGCAAGGGCCGATGTTGGTGTCAAGTATACTGCTCGACTGAACAACCGGGTAGCGGGACAGACAGTCTGCGTCCTGATGTAGGCGTCCGGACTTGTACGCCACCGTGTAGGTATACCCTTGCCGTCACAGAGCCCAGCGCCCGAGCCCGCCAGTAGGATTCTTCAGTGGCGTAAGCCAACATAGCGCATGATGGTCAGATACTACAGAGAAATTTGTGCCATATAAATATGAGTGGAACTTTGAAACTGCCTAAACAAGAGCGAGACAGTCACGCTCTGTAATGGAATAGTTGCGCTCAGCAGCTGTGAGGAGGCGTCTAGCGTAGGCGACAACTCGGTCGTGTCCCCGTTGGCGCTGGGCTACCACGGCTCCGATTCCGCGACCACTAGCATCGGTTCGTACTTCCGTCGGAGCGAATGGGTCAAAGTGAGCCAATTGGGTGGAGTCGTCAGTAGCGTGATTAGGTGAGAAAAAGCAGCAGCTTGGTTGGTACCCCACGTAAATGTGACGTCTTTCTTTAAAAGCTCTTTGAGGGGTCGAGCGATGGTTGCGAAATCTTTCACAAACCTTCTAAAATAGGAGCGATGTCCTACAAAACTCCGGACGCCTTTGGGTGACTGGGGTACAGGAAAACTGGTGACTGCACGAATTTTCTCGGGGTCCCGCTGCACACCAGAGGCGTCGAAAAAGTGGCGAACACTGTAATTTGGCGGCGTCAGAAGCGGCACTTCGACGAGTTCAATTGGAGGCCTGCAGTGCGGAATATGTCGAGAATGGCTGACAAACGCTGAAGGTGGGACTCAAATGTTGGGGAATATACAACGACATCGTCAAAATAACAAAGACATGTTGACCCTTTGAACCCTTGTAGCAGAGACTGCATCATGCGCTCGAACGTGGCTGGAGCGTTGCATAGCCCAAATGGCATAACTTTGAACTGATATAGGCCGTCTGGATTTACAAATGCAGTCTTCTCTTGGTCTTTTTCGTCCACAGCAATCTGCCAGTAGCCGGAACGTAGGTCTATTGTGGAAAAGTATCGGGCGCCGTGGGGACAATCGAGAGCGTCATCGGTGCGAGGTAAAGGGTAAACGTCCTTTTTCATGATTCTATTCAGATGACGGTAATCCACGCAGAAGCGCCACGTGCCATCGTTCTTTTTAACGAGCACAACGGGGGACGTCCAAGGGCTCGAAGAGGGTTCAGTGATTCCCTTGGCTAACATGTTGGTGATTTCTTGTTGAATTACTTTACGCTCGGTGTCAGACACCCGGTATGGTCACCCATGAATGGGATGAAAATCACCTGAGTTAATGCGGTGCTTGACGAGTGAAGTTTGGCCGAGTGGACGGCTGTTTATGTCAAATATGTCGTGGTATGAAGCCAGAAGGCGGCATAGCGCGGCTGACTTCTCAGGTTCGAGGTCCGGGGCGATCATGAAGCGTAAGGTTGCATCCAAGCACGTGGCATCCTACGAGTGACGTGGGCGATCGGGACATACGTCTGCCGCAAAACAAGTGACGTAGTCGTCAATTAAAGGTCTCAGCGTGGCGACGGATATTATCTTGAGGTAGCACTTGTTTTTTAAAACTGAAATTGATAACATGTAAATATGTTCGGTTAGAGGCCATGGCTACGACGGAGTGAGGGACAGTAATGTCATGCGCCGGGGGGACATCAGGAATAGGCGTCACGAAATAATCACCGTCGGGCACGGGAGAGGGTGTTGACAATTCAACGAATGTGAGAGCTTTAGGTGGTATCCGGAAGAAGTTAGTGGTGCAT